ACACACACACACACACACACACACACAGTTACAAGCAGACACTCCAAAAAATACACAGCATTTTATTTTAGTTTGTCTGGTCATGTTTGTCCTGGCTGTCTTTCTCTCTCTCTCTCTCTCTCTCTCTCTCTGTTACTTTATTTTCACTTATTTTTGTCTTTCTCATCCCCCCATGTGTTATGAACTGTGTGCGAGATTTTCCTGCCATCCACATGGCATGATGTCACCTCTCTGTGTTTTATTTTTACACCACAGACCTCCAACCGCTGCTCTAATTGAGAGCTTAATGGAGGTGTGACAGAGCGAGCAAAGATGGCAGGAAAAGGAGCAATAAGTGAAGAATTCAAAACTAAATCACTGTTTTTTTAAAGTCTTTAAAATCAAGTCGCTGCAGACTGCATGACTCTACACACACACACACACATTTAAATTGTCACTCCCACACACACACGTAATGTATTTATCCGTGACTGAAAGTAGTCTCCAACAAATGCACGTTATGCTCCTCTTTGAGTTGATTTGACAAAAAGGAAATGATTATACATAACAGCAGTCTTACCCTTTAACCATAATCACTGGAGGCCTCACCTCAACCCTTAAGTGAACCAAAAGCCAAGTCTGAACTCTATAAATGAACGTTTAACCTTTTGGGATCCCGGTTTCGAGTCCCCATTATGTCACTTTACGTCCCCACGATATGATTAATACAAACACAAGGTTGTCCTTGGCCTTCCACTGCGTGACGCGGCTTGATCTCCCGTGTTTCTATGGCGATTAAACAGAGAGTTTTGTATCGGCAGCTTGGATACTAGAACGTGATGTATACGTTCCTTCATGCCATGACACGGCGAGAACATTTATTGCAGGAAAAACAAAGCGAAGACATGCAGAGACACCGTCCTCGGAGCCGGCTGACGTCAGTGAAACCTGAGTTATTTTCCTCCAGTATGTGTGGATACTGGCTCGCTTCCTGTCGGGCATTGTTTGCCTCCCATCAGATAACATTTTCATGATGCTGGTAGCTAAGAGGTATTATTGCCTTCTCTGCAGCCTTTTAGAGCCACACGGTACGTCATAGCTGTGGGCTACTCACGCAGTGGCTCGCAGTACCAAGTTTGGAGGAAGAATAAGAAGGCGAGGGAGAGAAAATGACACATTAATTTGTTCTTATTAGTTTAAGGAGAGGCAGGAAGTGAAGATAACAGGTAAATACCACACCTTAGCTTTGGCTGGCTGGATTGGCTGTCCTCCAGTGGAGATGGATGAGTAGCCTCTCCCAGTCAACTAATAAACCAGCCGCTGGTTTTCTATTAATAAGTAATGAAGTAACAGCTCACTAACAGGAAGATTTATGTCCACTCAGCATGATGTCTGTGTCAGTTTGTAGCTTTATTGTCTGTTGAGGAGACAAGACCACAAAAAGAAGTTATTTAATCACCTTTTCTTAACGGTAGCACCTTTGACCTCAGCCACATAGCTCTGTCAGACAGTGTCTGGGTAACAAAATCACGTATATTGTGCCATCCGCTGATCTATAGATCATCTGAAAGTTTGGAACCTGAAAATGAATTTGAGATGCAGCTCAGCAGCGTGTGTCAAGTTGTTGTAGTCGTAAACATAGACTGTATAAAAGAAGGTCATAAATCAGAATACCACATTAAGATGAGGAATGCTTTTAGACATTTGGAGATTTCTGCAAGAATTACATTTATCGACGATTCAAACCCTCTTATTGTCAATATATGTAGTCCAGCCGTACATCCTCTAAATGTCCCAGGTCTCTAGTTTGTGGCTGTGATTTTCCTTGAGGTCTCAATAGGTCATTTTATACAGCGATGTCATCGGTAAAGTCATGTGATGAGGAAGGGTCAGCATGTGCCTCGGCTAGTAGTCAGTGAAGAGGAAAATGGGAAGAAAACCTCAGAGTCTAAGCACGAGGTATTTAAAAAACACATTTAACTACAGACATTCTATTTTTAGCCACGCTAGCTGCTTGGCTCTAGAAGTCTGCCGGTCCTTCACTTCCAGACTGAAATATCTCAACTATTGATCGCCATGAAATGTTGTGGCTCTATTCATTGGTTGTACTGCCGGATGGATTCCCGTGAAGTCTGGTCGACACATCAACGTCCTCCTCAATTGTTACTACTTTAACTGATCCGCTGACTTTTCATTTATCATCTGGTCAAAATTTAAATTTGTCCAGTACTTTCAGTACTTTGATTAATATTCACAGAGCTGCAAAACGAATGACATTTCTTACCCTCAGCGAAAGCCAACACGCTAAACACGATCATGCTCAGTTTCAGCATGTTAGTATTCTTTTCCTTTGTTGACGTTAGCGTTCTGCTGAAAGCACCGCCACACAGAGCCAGCATGGACTGGCTTGGTCTTGTTATAAATAAGATTGATGTTTTTCATCTGAGTTTATTGCAAAACCAATTTCCAGTATTTCTTCTTGATTAAAAACTACAGAAAAACAGCCCTTAAGACATTGGATATTGGCTGGGCAGACAGTATGTTGTATAATAGCTGTTAGGAGTCCAAAAAAAGGAGAGACTGCTGGGACAAATATAAAAGGTCATGACTCTAATTACAGCTACCCGCCATCATCATCTTTACTCAGACTTCTCCTCAAAAAACAAACCTATTTTTAACCTGAAACCTTTACATAACAAATTACAGTTTTTAAAATAAGACGTTTCAGCGGTGGGATGTTAAAACACAAACAACTTGTAGTACAAGTCCTTGACCTAAAGACCGTGTTACAGGACTCCATCCACCCGTGACGGATCAAGACCACCGGGATTTCACCAAAAGCGTCAGAATGGGTATCACCATCAAGTAGCCCGTATCTGTCGGCCCTCGTCCATAGAAAGGAGTCGTCCATCTGTGACTTTCTGCTGAGAGTTTAAGTGAAGTCACAGGAAAAGGGAGGATTTGAGTGTATGTGTACGCAGCCTATAAACTCGTGGTAACGTCGGTCTCGTGCCAAAACCAGAACTTCCTCATGAATCTGTGCTGACATGCCGCTCCAACCAGGAGCTGAACGCTATAGTTTGTGGTTTTGTTGGTCTACAAGGGAGTGGTCCGCGAAAAAAGTGTGTGTGTGTGTGTGTGTAAGTTGTCAACGTTCCACATCTCACCACATTAGTCATACCAGGCATTCCTTCATGTGTTCACCTCTCTCACACACACACACACACACAGTTTTTTGCAGCAGTTTAGGAGCATTCCTCGCGGTCAGCCAGCATGAACTTGATGTGGGAAATAATTGAGTGAACTGTCTTCAGCCGTCTCTTCCTCCACATTCTGTGCGTTTGTGTCGCTGTGATTTTGCCGTCGTGTCCCGGATTGTTTACCATCAGAAATCCAGACCCTGTAATCAGAGCGCTGTCGGTGATCAACGTGGTGATTTTGGTTCTATGTTTAGGAGGTTTATGAGTGTTGTATTTTAGGGAGAGCGGTTTTTGGATTATATTGTGTGAGACAAATGCTGAAGACGTACTGTAGTTAGGATTTAATAATCAGGTGCAGTTCAGTTTTGGAACTTAATTTAATTTGAAGGTGGACAACAATGAGCATTCAGACCCTTTGCTTCAGTAAAACTACCAACACACAGTGTAAGAATATGCTCCATTACAAGTTACAGGTCATATAAGCAACATTTACCAAAGGTACCATACTCATTATACAAAAGAAATGTCCAATCTGATATTATTGTTAGATTAAATTGTTGAAACAATGTTGATACATTTATTTGTAAGCAGTATTTTAATGTAGTAGTTTGTTGAGGTGAAGGTAATTTGAGAAACTTTATATGTTGGGTAGTTTAATTTAGAACAACGCAATATATTGAATGAGCTTATCATTTGTTTTGATTAAAATCTTAAATCTGAAACTGTTAACGATGAAACAAAATAAAGTCAAATGTGCAATATTTCCCTCTGAAATTTAGAAAGATAGAAGTATAAAGTAGCATAAAATAAAATGACTGTAGTCAAAGTAAAAGTACAATAGATCTGTGTGTATGTGTAATGTTATTAACTACACTACACAACTGGACTTGTGTTTGATACACTCAAGATTTTGGGACTTTGTCACCTTTGAAATCTGTTGCAGGTTTTTTCAGAGTTATCCCAAATATCATCAGATTGAGCAATATGCATGTAGCAGGTTATGGGAAATAGCGTACAACAAAAGTAGTAGTTTTATGTGATAATTAAGGCATTTTGAGTTTTAAATCATTTTCACTGAAAAACACCGACAGCAGATGTTTTAGGAACCTCTGTTTAAACATTAAAAAAAATGCAAACCTTATATATATATATATATATTTTTTTTTTATGAATTTGATCTGATTCCAACTATTAATATCTAAATTAAATTCAGTGAATTTTCACTCATATTTAGACATTCAGGACTTTCACTTACATGAGGTTTGGTAACTCGCCCCTTTAACAAGTCAACTCACAGCAATGTGAGCAGATGAGTTAGTTTGTAAAATGCCAAGAATCCGAAATATGATTTTAAATTACATCATCAGATTACAGGATTCAAACTTGTGTTGTTTGCCCGCTTCTCAAATCAGCCATCGAGCTTTGTCGTTGAAGTTATCAGCTGTATGATTCGTTTTTTAAAATCAGCGATGAGATGTATGAGTGAGGACGATCATATCACACATCACACACACAAGCTCTCTGACATGAATGCTAAGCACAGCAAACACACAGAAACACAGATATGTACGCCTGGTTGCTATGCTTTTACACAAAGCAAATATTTCAATGGCACTGTTGAGTGTGTCAGAATGGGGAATGAAAGGCATCTAATCAGCAAAATGCAGCACTAAATGTCAAGCGTTTGTTTAACTGAAAGCTTTTTTCTTTCCCCTCAGTCCCTCTGAGTGGATCAACAGCGCCTCTATGTGGTGCTTTGAAGTAGCCTTCTTAAAATGCTTTGTCGTGGGAAAGATGTGAAACTTTTGGATTTGGTTGGACAAACTTTTTTTAATTTGCCATTGCTTTATTTGTTATAGCTGTGAGTCTCCCTTCGGAGTGACGATGGCTGAGAGCCCGCAATGTTTCTACTGCCGAGAGGACCTCGGGGGGAAGAGGTTCGTCCGCAACGAAGGCAAGCCAGTGTGCGTCCGCTGCCACACCAAGTTCTGCGCCAACTCCTGCGCCGAGTGCCATCGACCCATCCCTGTGGAATCAAAGGTGTGTGTGTGTGTTATCAGCTTTATTTACCTGTTTATTTTTCCCTCTCATTAAACTTCCTTCCTCCATCAGGAGCTCAGTCATAAGGGCCGGTACTGGCATGAGGAGTGTTTCCGTTGCACAAAGTGTTACAAGCCTCTGGCCAAGGAGCCCTTCAGCACCAAAGACGACCGTATCATGTGTGGGAAGTGCTGCTCCAGAGAGGATGCTCCACGCTGCCACGGCTGCTACAAAGCCATACTGGCTGGTGAGACCAATGCTCTGCAAACCTTGATTTTGTACTGTTGGCAGAAAAAGCACTGTGCTGGAGGAGTTTTGAGGAAGCTGGCCAATTGGAAAACTTACTTTGGTGATTATAACCAAAGACATAGGAGTTATCAGTTAGAAGAAATATAGTTTTCAAAAGACTTGAGCTAAGAAATTCATCAAAACATCTGAGTACATACATGATTGTTAGCCCGATAAATGTAATTATGACATCAAACGACAACAACAAACAAGCAGATTTGACTTCCTCATTGCCTGTTTGTCTGCAGTAGCATTGACTCTTCTCTCATGCTCTGCAGGTACAGAGAGCGTGGAGTACAAAGGGAACTCGTGGCACGACGAATGCTTCACCTGTTTCAACTGTAAGCGACCAATAGGATCGCTGAGTTTCCTCTCCAAAGGAAGTGACGTTTACTGCAGCCCCTGCCATGACAAGAAGTTCGCCAAACACTGCGTCTGCTGCAAAAAGGTCATTCTTCTTAAACAGGAAACAGACCTTCATCATTCTTCCTAAAAGCAACAAGAACAACAATGATAAAATCACTATTCATACGTTTAGCTCCTCTCTTCCATCTGTCTCCAGGCTATAACCTCCGGAGGAGTGAACTACCAGGACGAGCCGTGGCACAGCCACTGTTTTGTGTGCAGCTCCTGCTCAAAACCTCTGGCCGGGTCCAGTTTCACCAAGCACGAGGACCAGGTCTTCTGTGTCGACTGCTACAAGAGCTCCGTGGCAAAGAAATGCAGCGGCTGCCAAAACCCCATCACAGGTCAATTTAAAATTTAACTGAAGATTCTGTTCACAAAAAAATGCAGGTGAAAGCCGCCACGGGGCAAATCATTTATTGAGGCAGGTCGGAGACTTTTTTCATGAATTTATCTGTGCACTGTCTCTAAATTGTAGCCCATAAAAAAATGTGTGAGACTACAATTCCAATAGATTTTTGTTTAGGATCATATGTTCAAGTGGCTTAAGTGTTTTGCACAAAGACTTAATGATATGATGTGAGACAGTCCAGCCTCACAGAGTCCGGAAACGAATTTGGAAGGTCTTTGTCAAATTGCAAAGTCAAAAACAGACACGTTTCCCTCAAATGGCCAGTAGCAGGCAATTTAAATAGTAACTTTGGAGAAGAAGCTGTACTATAAACCGGTTAACTTTGATAACATCTCAGTTTACATGTACAAGTTGTGGCAAATATTGTACCGGGTTGATGGTGAATACATTCATTTAACTTCCATTGACTTTCCTGACTCTACTTTACAAGGAAGGCACAATCAGAGATGTACATGTTCATATCAGGATAGGTGCACCTGAATGAAAGGACCCATCCGTCACACATTATATTGATAGAATCAAATGAAATGGTTGGAATGAGTTCAAACTGTCCTCTTCTCTCCTCTCAGGTTTTGGTAAAGGAGTGAACGTGGTGAAATATGAGGGCAGCTCCTGGCATGAATACTGCTTCAACTGTAAGAGATGCTCCCTCAGTCTGTCCAACAAGCGTTTTGTAGCCAAGGGAAAAGACATCCTCTGCTCCGACTGTGGCAACAAGTAGAGCCGGAGAGGTCGGTCATTTTTGAACAGTGGTTTATATTGTCATTATGTTTTTTGTTTCTTTATTTTTACATAAAGGTCAGACTCTTCATTTCAATGTTATCTTAATTACTAAAGGGACTTTTTTGGGAGATTACCCACAAAGTGATAAAAACATTGTGCCCAAAATGTTATTTGTGTCCACTGTTGATCGTTTGCTTTGATGCTAACACTAAACAGACACGGTGTTGAGTGATGGTAATGACCAGCTTTGTCCTAATAGTCCTCAAAGGATAAAACGTATCTAGCTAAGTGTGGTGTCCTGTTGGAGGCTTGTATCACATACAATATATTACTAAAAACACATATAAAAACAAAGCATAAACAAGATGTTTTGAACTGCTAGGAACACATTTTCTTATTTAGATGGGAAGTGAAGAAGATCAGCCACCTACAGCTAAAATGAATGAGCAGCAGATGAATGCATTGCATACCTGAAATACTACAAGTAGATGTAATGATGCTGCATATGAGTCTAAAAGTCAATTTCTTTATTTACAACACAGATTTATTTTATGATCTGACCGTTGTGAGAGTCAATGCTGTCATTCAACGCAGTGTATGCTAATGTGTTAGCATAAAGCAAGAATATCATGTGTTTTTAAAAGTCATTAAATTGTATTTTTTCATCTTTTAGCTATAAAACAGCTTATTATGTTAATGGACTAATGTCTACTTGTTTTTTTATATTTTTCAAGGGTGATACTTTCCTATGACCAAATACGATAAATGGTGTTTTTTTTTTTTTTAGTAATCAAAATAATATTATATTTGTAATTGCTCAGTCATTTCCAAGGGATTGTTATGCCTATTGTATGTTTTGAGTAAATAAACTTGTTTGCACTTTTTTTAAACCATTCTCCCTTCAAGAAAAGGGGAAATTTAAATATGAGATTGGAATATATTCAATATACGTCTTGATGTGTTGCCAAAATGAAATAAACATTATACAAACTGAGTATTGCATTTGTTTTTATAGATTTAAAATGTATTTTAAGGGTCCGTGTTGACATAAAACACATTGCTAAATGTTTTGTGCATTATTTGTTATAGTTACAATTATACAAATATATAATTCTAAAAGGGACAAGAGCATTTATGTGACGCTGTCCTTGAAAATGGGAACTCGGTCCATTTACGTTTTGATAGTTTGATCGTTTAATCAAAAATGAAAGCAAAGGTTTTTGATTTGCAGCCAGAAATTCTAGTTTCATAAGCAAAACTAACAAATCATTTATCCTCAGTTTATATATGTTTACTTACAAACTTGATTTTTGATTGCAGTGGGAGAAATCTGCTCTCAAAACATTTTTTGTTTGTTTGCGTAATAAAGACACAAATATACCTTCATAAATATATACAAATTAAAAAATAAAATGTAATGTATGAAATGATTTAAATGTCTGAACACTGTTATGTTATTTGAAATATATTTTCATCCACAAAGGTGTAAATGAAACATTTTACTTTGTGGTCCCAGGTGTTTTTGTTGTTTCTCTTCCTGAACACCATTTAGTGCAAATCCACAAATACGGGATACAACAGGATATAACATAATAATAACAAACTATGATTCGTTGGCAATATCAAATTACCAAGGTTTTATACTTAGGTATATGTATAGGTGGATGAATATTAAACCGCCTCGTCAGCTACTGTTGCTAACATACTCCCATCGGCCCAGGTTTACTTATTTATATTCATTAATGTATTTTCTTCTAATGTTACCCTGGTATGTACGTATGCACGTGCTTGAATCAGACTGTATATTATAATTTCTTGATTCTATTGCCTTGACATATATTTTGAAATAATCTTACTTAACGGAAAATGAAAAAAACGTGGTATTTCTCCTGTTTTTCAAATTAATTAAATGATAAAACAAACAATCAAAACGTACACCAGCCACCAAGGTCATCAGTGGATGGACTGCGTTACGGACGATAGGCAACGCGGCACATCTTCATCTGCAGCGCACGTTTTACTGAACACTGTTTCACTAATGCAATGTCAGTGGAAACGGTGAATTGACCTTTGTGACATTTGTTCTAAATTACTTAAGGCTCGAGACTCTGCTGGACTTGTCACACGGGTTCTGACTAGATATGTGTGATTCCATTGATTCCATCCATCCATCCATCCATTTTCCTCATCCGGGGTCGGGTCGCGGTGGCAGCAGGTCAAGCAGGCCGACCCAGACCTCCCTCTCACCGGCAACATGTTCCAGCTCATTCTGGGGGATCCCGAGGCGTTCCCAGGCCGGCTGGGAGATGTAATCCCTCCAGCGTGTTCTGGGTCTTCCCCGGGGTCTCTTCCCAGTTGGACGTGCCTGGAAAACCTCCAGTGGGAGGCGTCCAGGAGGCATCCTAACTAGATGCCCGAACCACCTCAGCTGACTCCTTTCGACGCGAAGGAGTAGCTTCTATGCTGTATCAAAAACATGTATTACATTTACAGTGAAAGAGCATCGGCGCCATAAGTGTCCGGCTTCTCTTATAACTTCTGTGCTTGTGTTTTCCAGCTGGCAGCTCATTAATACTGTGACATTTCAGCGAAGAGGCCAAACCAATGGCGCCCCCTCCTGGTAGTGCATATGGAACAAGTTCAAATCAACATTATGGACAAAATTAACAAATGGGTCAATGCTGATTTGCAAATTGCATTGAGACATTGAGTTAACTGAAACCAAGCTACAGACTGCATATCTGCATGCACACCTACAAATCTCTGCACGCAGATATTCGGTTACATTTGAAAATCTCAATACATGCGAAAAACTGGGAACACATTCGAGACATGTAAAGAAAAGGTATTTATTTTGTGATGTACAGTTATAGATTATTGCTATGATTTTATCATTCTACACCTTGTAATGATACCAGGACATCCATGAACCCAAGTTTTACTAAATGTGAACATGAACCTCTAGTTGGCCACGAGGCAACAGTGCTGTGCTGTGACAGTGGCATGCATTGCATACCTAGAACACTCAAAGTAGATCTAATGATGCTGTAGACGAGTCTGCAAGTAATTTGGAACTTTTTTTAATCTTGAAAAGGTCCCGTTTTACTACACAGCACATCATTTTCTACGAGCTGATTAGAATCGACTCTCATTCAACACGTGTATGTTAACGTGTTAGCATTAAACGGTTGTTATGTGCTTTATAAAGTGATTGAGCTCGACATGTGCTGGAGTGTTTCCAGGAAGCAGTATGTGTTTGTCAAAGCTATGATGTCTTTATGGGAGTCAATTACTTTTTTTTAATCTTTAACTGACTGTTAAGATGATATTCAACATGTATAACATCCCCCCCCCTCCTCCCTCCTCCCTCTCTCACTCTCACCAATCACAGCAAACATATATACCCTCCGTGTTTGCAGAGACAGGTTTGTGGTTCATCTCATGCTCTGTCCACTTTGAAGCTGTTTGCAGTATTGCTGGTATTGAACGTCTGCACCAGGTTTGACCTTTTAGAGATCTCCTTTTGGAATATTTCATTCATGCAGGTAAGCACTCATTCGAGTCTTTCAAGGCATTAACAAAACTTGGACTTTAAGATCAGCGTTAGCAAATTCTCAGGGGATTAAAACTTGAAATCATCGTTCTTAAAGAAACAATTAATTTATTAATGAGAATGTTGTGTTAAATGTCTGTTTATTATTTTACATAATATTTACTGTAGAACTTTATTCAGTTAACTCCCCAAAATTCTTTGAACTGAAAAAAATAAAATGAAATGAACTTACTCCGTTTCAGAATTGTGATGATTTGTCTTCAAAATATCCTGCATGTGTTGATCCCTCTGTCTCTGTTGAGCAGTCCAACCACCATGGAGCGAGGTACGTAAAGTCACTTTGGATAAAAGTGTCGGCTAAATAAATGTAATGGGGGGGGTCACAATACATTTCATAATTCATAGTCATGGTTAGACAAGAATAAGACAAGACAATAATGATGGAAGATGATTTCTCATTCTCCGCTCAGGGTTTATCTTTCAGACTACAACACGTGCATCTGTGAGAAAGTCACTGTTCAATGTAAATATGTCAGGGATACCTAAAACAAGCACAGTTTACAGTAGTTAAACACTACACGGCTATGCACTTACATATATCATCTATAGTTATAGATGATCGCTCTAAAGCTTGAAGCCGGTAGAAGTTCAAGCAAATATCAAACAGCTGTTTGCTAATTGCATATTAAATATCTGTGCATGATGTATAGTTTATATGATCAGTGGGCTCTGTAAAATGTGGGTATTTTTCACTGTTTTCTGATACAAGCTAAATGTCATAAAAGAAACCAAACAAGTTACCTGGCTATTAAAATAATCGTTAGTTGCAGACCTATTTTGATTCAAGTTTTTTAATTTGAGATTTCCCTACATGCAGCTGTTACTGACTTTAAACTTCAGGGTTTTCTATCCAATCGAGTCAGCTGTGTGCATATCAACAGTAATATAGGAAGAAATGATCTTCCTCATTCGACACGTTCTTTCCTATTAAAATCTGGCTCCAACCGCCAACAGCTGAGTTGGCGATATACAAAAAGCAGCTTCAGGAAGAAGACATGTACTCCTATGTGCTGTGCCGTATGTTAATGATTACTGTATATTGTCTGTGTCTGTCAGTCCGTGGGCTCAGTCTGTGGGGCGAGGTCGCTGACTTCACCTTCTCCAGTTGCAACCAGTGGAGGCTCAAGCCTCAGGTGTCCATCCCCGCCCTGCAGGAGCTCACGGTCTGCTTCAACATGAAGTTCAAGGTATTGATGATAAACCGCACAAGTCATTCCCACAAGGACTGCACAGTTCAACTCTTTATGAATCATGTATAATATTTCATCAACCATATCTAGACCATTGAGGACTCCACGCCATGGACCGCCTTCATGTACACTCATCCTGACGTTCAGTGTACTGAGCTGGGCTTGGGTGGAAAGAGGGATGGTTTCGTGGTCTGGCTGTTCGGGACAGAGTGGACCACGCCCAAGATCAACCTTCGTCTGTCACAGTGGTACTCGCTGTGCCTGGCCTGGACACATACTAACGACCGACCGGCCCTGTACGTCGATGGCAACCCGGTGGACATCATGGCCGGTGGGTTAACTAATAGGCAACTGAGTTACAAGTTTCCAAACTCACCAATTTAAAAAAAAACACACACAAATGAAGAAGAAAAAAAGAGCTGCAAGTCCCACACCACACAGTATCTTACTTTGTGTTTTAACATGTTGAGGCCTGTTTTTATTTCTCACCATGTCTTCTATTCTGGTAATGGTCTGTTACCACACTTGTTTTATATGTGATATGTTCTTCTGCTGCGTTTGTGTTTTAGTCTTATAAAGACACATTTCCCCTTTAGAGTCATTAGACTCATGTCAGGTTAGTATTTGTATTGGATCTTGATTTTGAGCCAACCTGCATACAAATAAAGCAGGAGCATGGGGATCAGAACGGGTACATTTATAATGACACTGAGAAAGACACTGTATTTGAGGTGCACTGGTCGTGTCCAAATCCCTTATCTGCTTAATAAGGTTAGTATCAGAACTGTAAAGCTATCTGGCGTATTGGATCCATGCAACCCTTCCTGGATGCAGGCTAGATTCACAGTTTAGCAAAGGACAGGGTAACATGCACCATTTGTAACCATTGCCGTGTCAAAATGTGTTGCCATTTCAGTGGCAGTTACGTATGAATGATGAGCGGAGAGTCGTTTGTTTCTACATTGTGCTCTTTTGGCTCTGATGATGATTTATTTGTTTGCTGTTTTCTCCTCTCTTAACTCACGATGTAGATACGACTCCCTCCGTCCCCCACCCGAGCTGCAGACTGGCCCCCAATGGAACGCTGACTCTGGGTGCATCACACCGCCTGGTCAACGGGACTAGCATCCCACATCCCGCTCCGGTGGGCAAATTATCTCTATTTCGGCTCTGGGGGCGAGAACGGAGCAA